TACCCAGCAGGGGAATAGCTGGGTCAAATGGGACCTCTAGTCCTAGTTCTTTGAGGTATCTCCATACTGATTTCCACAGTGGCTGCACCAGCCTGCACTCCCACCAACAATGGAGAAGGGTTCCTTTCTCCCCACAACCCTGCCAGCATTTGTTATTGATTGATTTCTTGATAGCAGCCATTCATTCTGTGGTGAAGTGGAATCTCAGTGTTGTTTTCATCTGCATCTCTTGAATGATGAGTGATGTTGAACATTTTTTCATACGTTTATTTGCTGCTTTTTACTTCCTTGTCTGAGAAATGTCTGTTCATTTCAGATGCCCATTTTTGAATTGGGTCTTTGAATTTGGGGGTTCTGATTTTTTTCCATTCTTTATATATTCTAGATAGTAGACCTTTGTGTGAGGTACAGCTGCTAAAATTTTTTTCCCACATTGTAGGTTGTCTGTTAGCTCTGTTGGTGGTTTCTCTTGCAGTGCAGAAGCTTTTTAATACAATGAGATCCCAGTTGTTGATTCTTTGTGCTAGTTCCCGTGCTACTGAGGTTTTGTTCATGAAGTCTTTTCCTATCCCGATGTCTTCAAGAGTTCTACCTAACTTATCTTCTACCAAGTTTAGTGTTTCTGTTTTAATATTTAGATCTTTAATCCACTGTGATCTTAGTTTAGTGCATGGTGATAGATTTGGACCTAGTTTTAATCTTTGGCAGGTTGAAATCCAGTTTTTCCAAAATCATTTATTAAGTAGGCTATCTTTCCTCCAATGAGGGTGGTTGGCTCCTTGGTCAAAGATGAGGTGGCAGGGCCAGGGATTTAGCACACTGGTGCCACCGCCTGCCCGGAAAGCTCAAGGTCCTGAGTTTGATCCCCGGTACAAAAAAAAGAAAAAAAAAAAAAGATGAAGTGGCTGAGTGTGTCTGCAGTTGTTTCTGCATCTTCTAATCTATTCCACTGATCCTCAGGTCTGTTTCTTTCCAGTACCATGCTGTAGTATAGTTTCAAGTTGTTGATTGTGATATCCCCTGACATTTCTCTGTTGCCTAGAGTTGCTTTTGCTATTCTAGGTCTCTTCTGGTTCCAAATGAATTTTTGGATTGTTTTCTCTAGTTCTGTGAAGTA